GTGTTAAACCCTATTATTTCCTAGCCATTTTGGCCAGTAATAGGCTTCAAGTCTTTGCATTTCTAGACAAAATTATGGAAATAAAAGTTGGGCTGAGAGGACTACCTTGCTTCATAATTGGTGAGCTTACTTCCATTTCAAGGGAGAGTGTTTGGTGAAGAGGTTCGAAGGTTGATCCCATCAGAAGACGACGGAGGATTCCTTTTGACCAGCTGTCGGTTGGTTTTACTGGAAAATTCTTGTTGACGCTGTTTCCGAGGCAATCTACTTCGATTCCGGTGAAAATGTGCTAAGCTCTCGTCCGTTGTATGCCAGACATCATCAGGGCAGGATATCACCCTCACAAGCATAATCAAGCTAGCAATCAAGAAAACTATTTAGCTCGAATATGGTTTTAGGGGTGATTCCCTTCTCTGATGATGTCCGTTATACGCTTTCACCGGAATCGGGGAAGATTTCCTTGGAAATAGCGTCAGCAAGAATGATCCAGTAAATCCAATCGACAACTGATCAAGTGAAATCTGCCGTTGTCTTCTTGTGGGATCGACCTTAGAATCTCTTCACCAAAGGCTTTCACTCGAAATTGAAGTAAGCTCAACAAAATTATGGAAAACTTTAGGCTTCGTATTCCACTTTGAATATCAAAAACGAAAATTATTCCACTAACGTGGACAATATACTCTCACTTTAGGAGAGAGCTGAAACCCGGGTGTAATTTAATGCAGCCTTATAGTTTTCATTGCTTCCCACCCTCCTACCTGTTCTTGTTGGTATGCATTCAAGCCATTTCCCAAGTCTCTCATTTCCTGCCTGTGATGTTGTTGATATTGAATTGGATGCTGACAGTCTTGGAGTCGAGGTTGTTGCTGAGGGTTCTGAATTTGGTGAGGGTAGCTAAGAGTCTGAACGAAGCGGTGATAAGGATGTGACTGGTTTTGGTAAGTATGGTGGCTGAGCTGGGGGTTCTGGTTATGCAGACGGGGATAGGGTGAAGGATGTTGCTTTTGTTCAATCCCTTGCAAGTGGAGATAGATAGACTGTGGCTGATGAGGGAGGAGGCAAGGCGGCTGCTTTTTGACAATATAAAGTGGATGGTACGGGATCCATTCCTTTATGCCCTTTCTCCCATCCTCAATAGCATTACTTTCGTCTTCATCTTCACCATATTCCTCCTCTTCGTCTGCTCCTCCTTCATCGTCCCCTTCCACCTCATCATCTTCTCCCCTATCCTCCTTTTCCTCTCCCTCTTCGTCGTCCTCTTCGAGCTCATCTTCATCCTCTTCCTCTCTCTCTGCTTGTCTTTGCTCCTCCTCATTCTCACCCTCAGCTCTTCGTACAGTGACTTCCTTGATTCGCAACACCTCCGATTCTCCCAAATCTAATGCCGTCTGACTGAGAGGGCATCGCAACGTCAGCTGGTGCTGCTTATCTTGTGCTCTTGCGAACTCTTCCGTGGCAGCACCTCTAGATTGGGGAGAGATTAAGTGCGTATGGAAGGGAGATTCAAGAGCTGGAATAGAAGGAGGAGCCTGAAGATTGGGGAGTTGAGATGAATGGGAAGGTGTGTGATAGTCGCCCCAGCACCAGTGACACATGTGCAGTCCAGGCCGTTGGTCACATGGTAAAAGAAGCGCCTGTGGACTGGCGCGGCCGCATGTGACGCATTCCCGACTGGGCATTTGGTCAATAAGAACAATGTCCAAAGGTGATGAGACTGGGAGAAAAATGTGACAGATTATATGGAAAGATAGTTCAAAAACACAACTTAAAGTAACATTAACAATTATTTATTTAATCGCTCGTTAGTTGTGATTAATTAAAGCACATACAGCAGTTATGCACTTGAGCTTATTCCATCAACTTAGTGCCCCGTTGCTCTCATGAGCATCCGAGATGGCTATCTATGTTACTTCCTTGACCTGACAACTACGATGCTTATTTTAAACTAAAACATACATTTAAATTGTATTTGTTAATATATTTCAAAACTATGCAAAATAAGAAATCGGGGGATTTAGGAAACGTAATTGGAATATTTTCCAAATTGTTATGGGTAGGTCTCTTAATGCAATGGAATTTCCATTAGCCTGCAGTCAGGTCTGGATAAGAAACCCTTTGGAATGCAGACCTTAGTGAATTTCACTAGCATCACGAAGCCTACGTATGCCACTGTGGGAATGACATCCATACCACTCCCTAAAACATCTTTTGCCTTGATTGTTCAAACTGGTTGTTTTGCCCTAAGTTTTTATATCTACAAAGAGCCTTTGCACCAGAATATCTCATACAGTACTATGAAGTTTAAAATATTTTCCAGAGGAGATAAGCTAAATCAGATAAAATAATCCTCAAAGATTGTCCCAATCTGATAAGCTTTGGTTCAAGCTGCAAGGACCCTATTTCGTTTATGATGATAAGGAAACTGGTGGTTGAATTTTCCTACAATCACATGAGTTGACCTTA